GAAGGATTAATTAACTTGGGAGTGATCTCAACACTCAAAATGGAAAAAAAAAAACCCCACAAACAGGGATTAATGTCAGCTCCAACACACAGCCAGACTCAGTGAGTTTGGGATTTGGAGCACATCCTGACTCCTGCTTCCTGCTGCCAGGAAATAAGTTTGTTGCTGCAGATTTTCCCTGACAGCAAAAGCCAAAGTCAACTCAAAATGCCCTCCTGAAAATTATTCATCAGGGGAACATTCTACATGAAAAAGAAAAAGAAAAGATGATGATGCCAGGGAGCAACAGAGTTCCAGCAGCATCTCCATCACGAGGAATTTTTCTCTTTAAAGAGCCCATGGAGCCAAGCCTGCAGTGTCATGTGCAATAGGCAGCAGGCATAATTCAGCATAGAAATTAAGAGAGCCATTATTATTATTATTTTAATCACATGAAAGGACTCTCCAGGGTTTTGCAATTTTGTGATCACAGGGAAAGAGACCCAGAGCCAGAAGAGAAAAGGTGCAGTAAGTGATTGCACAACATTTCTCTTCTGCTAGCTGGGATCTTGCTGAATTCATATTTCCATTCAGTGACTTCTCCTCTGTTATAAATTCACAGACCAACTCCTGTTGCTTCTAATTGAGGTGGGGTGTGTTTGCTAAATCCTGCATAAATCCTGCATGAGGGAAGCAGCTCTTGGCAAAATGTTTGACCACATTGGGTGGCTGGAGGCTCTAACCCAGGGACGTGGAGATTTTGGGCTGCAGCCCCTGAGCAGCTCCTGCTCCAAGCTGCTGTCACAGGGGGTGTTAAATGCAGTGGGCATTCCTGGAATTTCCAGTGGGCATTCCTGGAATTTCCAGTGGCCATTCCAGATGTGAGCCTGGCAGGTCACAGTGCCTCAGGGCAATGACAAACTCTGGTGGGATTTACCAGGCAGAACAAACCTGAAAGTTTTGGAGCTCAGGACAAAAAGTTTGGTCCTTTCCAGAGGCCTCTCTGGATTTATTCCTGTGCTCACTGCTTTTCTTCCCCAGCCATTTCATCCCTATTTTTTTTTTTTTTTAATCCTGGAGAGCCAAACCAGCCCCATTTCCAGGCAGCTGAGGCCAGTGACCTCCTGTCTTCAAAGCAAAGAGCTCAGGCCAAAGTCTGAGCCCAGCACACAAACACAACCCAGGCAGCCACGGATTTCTCCAGGAATTTCTCCACCCTGTCACCAGACGAGCAAACACGGAGCAAGACGAGGTGTGAACACCTCGTGTCCTTTCAATCCAGCTGCTGGCACAGCTGGCTGGCAGTGTCCTGCCTGGGACACTTGGCACTTGGATTCCCAGCAGCAGAAATTCAGCATATGCTGAGAGGAGCAATGGCTGCAATTCACGACATCGAGTGGGGGAAAGAGGAAGAAAAGGGGAGAAACCTTGGTTAAGGCTTGCAAATTTTTGAAGTCAAATTAATAAACCAACGTGCATTTAGGTGGTGAAAAGCATCTAACAGCACAGCAAGGTTCCATGTTTACCTGCTGTCACCGATTTCAGAGCAAATTGGCTCAGGTTAGAAGTCAAAGAAAGATTCTTCTGCTGCCAGCACTGCACACTTGAAGAGATATCTGAAAATCAGGCTTCTCACCTTATCATTGTTAGAAGGCTGTGCAATCAAAATGTAACTGACAATTCAGCTGATGCACGAGCACAACGAGGTGCCAGCTCACTCTCCCTGAGCTGCAGAAGCTCTGTAAAGCTAACAGGATTTTAAAAACATTTTGTCAGAAAAATAAGTGGCTGTGCCAGAGCCGGGGAGTGGGCAGAATAACAATGCAGTGCTCTGGAGTGACAGGAGCATTTCAGGGGCTGGGGCACACGGAGCTGCTGCCCTCACATCTGCAAACATCACTGGGCTGAATCCTCACAGCACCGAGGGCAGCAGGGCTGAGGGGCTGGGAAGGGTTCAGGTACCTGCAGCAGCACTGGGGCAGAATTTGTCAATTTGTACCTGCAGGTCTCCAGGGCCACCTTCCTCAGGTGTCACTTTGGGGGCTGGTGTGAGCCCTGCCTGCAATCCTGAAACCCCCCCCCAGCCTTTGGGACCATCTGGATCCTCGTGATGTGGGGTTTGCTCCAGCAGAGATCATCCCCCCCTCTCATGGAGCACTGCCCACTTCCAGGGCACCATTCCCAGGGAAATCATCACACATCTGAAATTCTGAGCTGTGCCTGCCCCACTGCAGGGCACGGGCAGTGCTCAGCCTGGCACTTCTGATCACAAGCAGCACTGATGAATAATTAATGCTGATGAAAGGAGCACAGCTTGTGGGTTTAAGGAAAGGGCTCTCGAGCTGCAGTGATTGTAAATGACAGCAATCACAGGAGTTCTGTGCAAATAAACTCAGGAACGTGGGGGAGGCTTGGTGAGAGCCAAACAGGAGAAACAGGAGCTGGGGAACATCAAGCACCAGCAGGAACATGAGACCAAGTGGAGAGGGGGATGCTGCCTGTGGAGCAGCTGGGAAATACTTGGGAAGTGGCAAAGTTGGATCTCTGGAGAGATTGAAGGGGTTGGGGATCCAAGTTTTCCTACCTGGGCAGGGATGCTCTCCCCCGGCTGCCAGGAGAAGCAGGAGCAGAATTCAGAGTTCATTTTTAGTTCTGCTTGGACCAGAGGGAATATTTGATCCAGGGCAGCTCCCCCCAGGCTGAGGCTGCAAGAGAGCAGCAGCACATCCACAACAGCAACACCCACCCTCCAGGACCCTGACTGCTTCCCAAACATCCCAAAATAACCCCAGAGAGGTTCCTCCCCTCCCACATGGAAGCAGCTGCAGAGCAATCTCAGCTGAGCATGGACATTTCCAATGGAGAGCACCCAGTTTGCCTCCTTTCCATCTGCAGTTTGGAATAAAAGGACACTTTGATGTGACAGGAGGGGGAATGGGCAGGGCCAGGCTGGCCTGTCCTGCTTTCTCTGCAGGCACACAGGGACTCCCTGATGCTGCCCTGCTCTAGCAGGCAGTTAGGAGGAGGAAAAGCTTATTAAAAGGCTGAAATGTAGCACGGAGCTGCTTTTCTGCAATTGTCTGCAAATCCTCTGCTCCAAAGCATTTTCCCTGAGAGTGCTCACAGGCACACTCCAAACAAGCCTAAGTACTGTCAATTGTTTTAGCATGATAAATGCATTTTAAAGCTTTCAATATTTTTGTCTGTTTACTGGCACGATCCTTGAGGAATTTTGACAAGCTTGCCAGAGTGGAAGAGCTGCAAAATGCTTCAGCTTGCTGCTGAACTCCATGCAAATTCTCAAATAAAGAACCTGGCTCTTACTGGAGGAGGCTGAAAGAGCAAAGCAAAGGCCAAACCCACCCAAATCAGTGCTCCTGGCAGACAGGGGCTGGCCAGGGCCAGGGGCTGCTCACACCCAGCCTGTGACAATCCCAAACCTCCTTCCCTGGGTTCACAGAGCTTCCTTTGCAGCCCAGCCAGCCCCACAGCAAAGGACTTGTCCCTAATACCCCACCCAGTGCCCTCTGGCACTTTGGAGCCACTCCTGTCCCTCCAGGCCTTTGGAAATGGTCTCTCCACCTTTCCTGTCCTCCCTGCAGGTCCTGGAAGGTCATAATTAGGTCACCCCAAACCTTCTCTTCTGCAGAGACACCTGATGCCATTTCCACCTTCACACCCGCCCGCACCTCAGCCCCAGGGCTGCGATCCACACAGAGCAGATCCCCCAGGTGCTGGGGCTGACCTGGACACCCAGAGAGTGCAGAACAGGATGGGAGTGTTCTCCAAAACCTCAGCCCCATCCTCTGCATGGAGGAAATCAGCTCAGGGCTGTCCTGCCCTGATGTGGGTGAGGATCTCCAGATCATCCCTGCACACTCAGCCCTTGCAGAGGAGCCCAGAGCACTGCAGGAATCCCCAGGGATGGGAAGGGAAATCTGCTGAGGAGATTGTGCTGGGCTCCCCATGGCACGGGCAGGGCAATGCTGTGAGTGCAGAGCAGCAAAAACACAATTTATATCCTCAGAAGCCAAATAACCAACAAATACCCCAGAACCACAACAAGAATCCCAGCAGAGTGAGCAGGGGAATAGCACTGAAAGTGGCTCACATAAAAAAAAAAAAGTGATCTGCTAAAGAGTAAAATTATACAAGCCAGTTAGCACAGAGCATAAAGAGCTTTTAATATTGATTCACTCAATATTTTATGGAATTCACATCTTGCTCAACAGTGGAGAAACGAGAGAGAAAATGCTCAGTGTGGTCGGGTCCTGAAGCCTACAAGCTCAGACAAATAGCAGCATTGTCAGCTCTGGGCTGCCCTCATGTTTTAATAAAGACACTTTGGATTTGAGCACGGCTGGGGCTGGCTGTGCACACAGAGCTGGGACTGCAGGGATGAGGCTGCCAGCCCTGGGACATGCACAGCACACGGAGCCAGAGCTCTGCTGCTCCCCTGCAGCCAGAGGGACGAAGCAGAGCTGTGACAGACACGTCCCTGCACTGCAGACAGAGGAGCTGCCCTGGCTCTGACCTTCAGCAACCTCGGGAAAAGTGACAGTGCTGGTGTTGGGACTCATCAGCCCAGAATGATTATATACTGGTGCTTTTATTGAAGAGCTCTGGGAATCAGGGGTGCAGACCCAAATCTGACTCTGACATGGATCTGAGATGGACACGTTTTTATACCCTTTTCATTATATAACTATATATCAATTATTAAACCCATATTGTTCTACTGGACTGTATACATTGTTCTATTGTATTATGTACATTGATTAGGCCCCCCAAATATCCTGATTAGCCCCCCCCAAATATCCTTCCTCACGATTCTTGTTACGATTACACCATTTCTCACGATTCTTGCTACAATTAAACAATAACCACATTCAATCACCAAACGACCCTGACATTCACCAATCCTTTATCCTTTATGATCACGCAGGGGTGACAAATGTCAGTGTTTGTCCCCAGCCTGGCAGCGCTGTGTGTGTGCAGCTGCCGTGGTGCCAGCAGCGTTCTCAGCCCCACTCACCGAACATGTTCCCGATGTGGCCGTTCCTGCTCAGGGGGCGCAGCTCGTTCTTCCCCAGCGCGTACTGCCTGTAGTTATCCCAGGCAAACTTCATCATCTGCCGGGGTGGGAAAAGGGAATTAGAACACTCAACAGGAATGAGGATTTCCAAACCTGAGCTCTGGGAATCCATGGCGGTTTCCCACTCACTGTGGGCCGTTAATGATGAAATTTTAATTCCCCCTGAACTGAGGAGTGGGGCTGCATGCACGGGGTGGGTGAAGTTTCCAGCTCATCATTTCTGGTGAAGAACCTGGCACAGCTCACACCAAAACCCCACTTTTCACCTTGGCCCTGCAAACCACGGGGCATTTGTAGAAAGCTGTCTCCATCTCTGAATTTCCAACCTTTTGCAGAGATTATTCATCACAATTTCAGAATGGTTGTTAAAATGAACTAAGAATGAAAGGCCAAAGCTGATCTGTCCCTAAGTACACGGGAAACTGATCTTGGAGCTTTTCATTCCATTAATTGACAGAATACATTCCCACAGACCAAACCCATGACATTTTGTTACCTTCTATCAGAACTCCACAGTGCTTTCCTCACAGAGCTCTGCACACGGGCTGCCTGATTTCTGAGCAAGCCTTTCCAACTCAAACAATTCCTTTTGGGATGTTTGAACCATCCTGCCCGGGCCCAGCACCCTGACCCTCCCCTGAGGGCTGTGGGGCAGAGTTTGTGCAAGTTCCAACACACACACACAGATCCCAGCACAGCTTTTCTGTCCTCCTGCTCCTCTGGCTCCAGCTGGGAGGAAAAATTAAACCTACAAATGTCCTTTCTTCATCTGGGAGAGACTGGGACTTGTCAGCTTCCAAGGAGTGCATTAAATAAAGCTGCTTTTCCTAAACCCCCCCAGCCCCAGCATCACACTGACCTGAACATCCTTTGATTCAATCCCTGGGAAAGAAAAAGATAACAAAGGGGAAGAAAGGGCTTCAGAGCATCAACCATGTTCTCCAACAAAGATAAGAGGAAATGCTTCCCTCAGACCAGACTTTGGAGGGAAAATGACAGTTTAAACCAAATCCTTGCTGCACAGAGCACTCCTGGCTCGTGTCTGCTCTATTTCAGGATCAGAGTCTGCAGGTTCCTTTGGTCTGCACTTCCTCCTGTCATCTCAGCTCTTGCTCTTCCCTCCAGCTGTGTGTTTCACAAACCCAACATCACAAGCCCCTGGCAGTATCCTCCTTAATTAGCAAAAAGCCACATCCCCAGATTCCCCCCTCTCCTTTTTCAACATCAAGCTTCCAAAGTAAAGTTTCCTGGAGCTGTTCGTATGGAGGAGGATAAACATTTGCTGAACTGATTAATAACACTCAGGCTCCAACAGCACCAGGAGATGGAACGCTGGACAAACAAACAAAGCCAATTTGGGGTTTAAAAACTCAGTGTGGGATGAATTAGTCAGTGGAGAGCTCTGCTGAGGAAACCAAAGAATGACCCAGGGAGGGGGAGGAAACCCTCCACAAAATGCACTCCAACATGTCCCAGGCATGTGACTCGGAGTGTTCACTTTATTTTTGCCAAATCTCTGGTTTTTTGTTTTTTTTTTTTCCCAGCGGCAGCAGGTTCTAAACGGGAAGTTCTCACCATGAACATTAGAGGGTGAATCTTCTGCAGCTCTGGGCAGTGCAGAGCAAAGGCTTTTCTGTGTCAGAGCCTGCAGGTGTTCCCAAAGGCAGCATTCCCCCAGTGAGCAGCAGGGCTCTGCACCAAAAGGAAACATCCAGGCACCTCCTGGGCTCCTTCTCCTCCTCAGTCAGGGCTGAGGAAGGAGGACCCGCCCTTCTGGCACAGGGGGAGCCTGGACACAGAGGGAACAGAATCATTTCCACATCCTCTAAAATCCCTAACGCTGTCGTTCTGAGTCAGCCTCGTTTCAAGCTGAGAGTGTGAAATTTTATTTATTTATCTATGTTATTTCCCTCCCTCAGTTTCTTTAAAACCCCTGCACTGCAGAAGGTGCAGGGTGAGCCCAGCCAGGCTGGGACACCGAGTCTGCAGAGCCCTCCCTGCCAGCGAGGGGATGGAAAACACCCAGGGTTTGCCTTCAGCCCCATCTCCTAGAGGGAAAATCTCCTTTTTCCTGTCTGTTCACACAAGGAGGGACAGCCTGGGGCTCCCCAAAGTGCCTCACTCACCCAGGGCTCCCAACAGGTGCATCCCTCACCTGCCTGCTCAGCCATTCCAGCTGAAGAAGTTCCCCCAAAAAAAAAGATTTGTGTCCCAAACTGTGCCTGTGCTCAGTGCTGAGCTGCTTTCCAGGGAGGCAGGGGATGGCTGCTGGTGGGAGTGCTGCCTCTGGGTGAAGCACACGGTGCTGGCTGCCTTCAAACCCTGCACATTTTGGGAGGCAGGATGCAGAACGTGGCAGCTTTTCATCTGCCAGCATCCCAGAGCTTTCCTCTCTCCACTGACTGCTCCAAAAAAGCAGCAACTGGAAAAGTTGGAAGAGCCAAAAAAGCATCTGCACCACTGTGCCTGTTCTGGCTCCCTGCAGCTGCTTCTCCAGCCCAAATTTAGCACCTCAGCTCCCAAAGCCCTGAAGGGAAGCAGCCAGGTCCTGAAAGTGGGGGCTCCACATCCACAGCAGCCTCCCCTGAGCAGAGATCCCAAATTCCAGGCTGGAGGGAGGGGGATGTGTGGGGTGAGGTGTTCCAGCCTCATTTCTGATGAGCCACCAGGATTAGAAAAGTGAATATTTTATGCCATTCCAGTCCTGACACATCCCAATACATCAGTGTTAACATTGTGCCATCCTGCATTTGAAAAATGGCAGCAGCACCACAAAAATTATGGAAATAGATCCATAATTTCAGATTTTGTTCTCACCACTGAGCCATCTGCCACCTAATAGACAATTATCTATTTGGCCCTGGTATTCCAAGCACTCTGGGTCTCAGCTGATTTATAGCAGAGACTTCTGAATTTATAACTTCATTTGTCACACTGCTCTTTCTTTTCTTTCACCTGTAAGTCACTTGTTACTTTGGAGAGTTTCAGCTGCCCCTTGTACTAAAATCAACTAGAAATGACAAAAGTGAACCCTGAAAACCTGCACTATCATTTCCACCATTTAATCCTTATCTTTTCTCGTGCTTTGCTCCCTCCAAACCCCAAAAAGAATCTGGCTGGCATTTCACAGAGGCAGCAGCAGAACAAAAAAGCATTTCGAGGATGTTGTGATCCAGGTAATGAGGAAATCCGTTTTTGGATAAAAACTTGACCAAGAAAGTGTTTTCACTTTGAAGAGATGTGCAAATCTTTAAGCACTTTAAAATAACGAAACCACTCCAAGATCTCTGGGTTTATGGACTTGAAAAAAGCAGAGAGATGAGAGGGAAGAAAAAGAATAAAAAGCTCCCCCTCACCATCACTTGCCCTCCTTTTGTTAACAGGGAAGATTTCCAAATGCAGAGCATTCCCAAACAGCTATTTGATTAGTTTTATCCATCTAGACTGGCATAATTAGTAAATGCTTAAAAGATGAAATCTAAATATACCAACCAATCAGCCCCTTTCAAGCACTTCCAAGGAACATTACACAAAGCCATTATCTTCACAAGATAACCACTTCTGTGGCTCTTTACCCTCCTTCCTTCAACTCTCCTTCAAATATTTCACTCTAAAATATCAAAGAAATTTCCAGTTTGGGTTAAAAAAAAAAAAATGGAGGGCAGGAGGGTGAGTGTAATTTTAATATTTCTTTCCCCATTGTATTCCTAACTTGTTTTTTTCCCCACTTCTCTTCCTTTTTCTGCAGCTGGAAGCAGAATATTTGTCCTCTCAGTTTCCAGAGCAGGACTTGTTTTTTCCCACCTTTATCCTCCTTGCTGCCCCACAGTAACCCCGAGTCAGTTTGAGGTTTTTAAGCTGCAATAATGCCATTTATTTTCCCCCTGCTGTATAAAATATAATTTGCCAGATGACAAGAGAGAGAGAAAAAGAGGAGCTGTCAGTCTTGTAGGAAGAAGTCTGCCTGAACACATCGGGATAACTCATTTCTGGTTGGAATAATGGATGTATTTTTCCCTTATCAGACTTGCATAAACCTGTATAATTCAGGATCTGCAGAAAAGGTAATGAAACAGCATCATGTTTATTTTGTGTTGCTGCCTCTAGTATCATCACATGGAGATATAAATACCCAGGCAAACAGCAGGGCAGAATGCTGTAAAAGAGCTGGGATTCATTTGAAAACCTTTAATAGAAAGCTGAGCAACCTCTCAGGTTACTTCTCGGGGCCCATGTCCTCAGTAATGCTTTTATGTAAGAGCAAAATGGTGACAAAAAGCTGCGTGCTCACTCCAGAGGATGGAGATGCTCCATTCAGGCACACTCTGATACCCAGAGCCTGCCCTGGCTGCTTTAAAAGCCTCAAGTGCAGAGCAGGAGCAGCTGCAGCTCCAGGGATGTTACCAAGCAACTCCCAGAGATGGGCACATTGATCACCCATCCTAAAGTAATTACACCTTGTAATTAAAGATGCCAGTAAATCCAATAGATCCCAACAGGAACTCCAGCAATTTAAAGGCTAACCTGCCTGTTGCCATGTTCCCTCCTGCCCGGGGTGAAACGCTCAGGGAGCTGCAGGGATTTCCATTTAACCAACCTTCACCTGGGGATGTGCTAAGCCAGCATCCCCTCTGCTGAGCCACCTTCAACCAAACCCATCCCTGATGGCAAAGGGCTAAAACCCGAGCCTGCCACTCCCAGGGGAAAGCCAGGAGAGCACAATCCCAAATCCCAAATCCCAAATCCAGCCCTTTCCTCTCTGCTCTCCACTGATGACTCTGACACATCCTCTGGGCCTCACACCCTCCACCTAAAACACACTCAGCCCTTTCTTCTCAGAGCACTGGGCACGGTGGAAATACCCAGAGTGTACTGGACAGAAAAACCCAGAGTG